ACTTAGATCTCATTAACAATTATTCCAGTAAAAAAGATCAGATTTATCAGGTGACTGAAATAACCAATGCGTCCAACAAATATTCCCTCTCTTATCAAGCAAATCCCAAAGGAAAGCAGTCATTAAGCAATATTCTGCATTCATTGATAGAAAACTGTTGCAGGAGATTATTTAAGTACGAGGTGAAAATCTTTTGAAGCTATTATTTTAAGATTATATATATACTAACCTAGTACTATCCTAGTCCCAATCATTTATTTGAACCGCAAATTGTTGCTATAGCATTTTTCACTCATAAACTAGAACTGATTGTTTGTGTATCCAGTACTCCGTTCCCCCCATTACTAATGGTGTTCTTCCCTGTCAATACTGTTACTGTCTGCTGCGTGGTCTGGTCTTGTATATATGAATGAATGTCTGAAATTTAATAACAATCGTGAACTGGTGATCATTGGTCTTGAGTGTTTTCTCTTCATTCCGGGATAGTTAGTATTGGGTTAACCACCAAGCACTTGTATTCCTCGTCCTTACTGCGTATTAGTTGCTTAAGGTCATCTATGGATACTAGCACGTTACAAAAAGACCTACGTTCCAAACATTTTGCCTTTACTCTGAAGGCATCTAAATGACTTTTTATCAAATACTTATGATTTAAAATCTCTGTAAGATAAAGTAACGCAGGAAAATGATATACCTTTGTGCGACAAACTAAATCACTGTTGGAAAATAAAAAAGTTGGCGAGTTCATTTTTCACACTTTCCACGAATTCTCAGTACTATATAATCAGGAATTATTATGCCATCATCTTTTTTTATTTGTTAATATTAAATTCATGAACCCGTTGACATATATTTATTAATATATTTGTGAAATTTAAAGATAAGTTGATGATGATGAAAGAGAAAACAGAGTTTCGAACATATCTGTACCCAAAATATGATTTTCGGAACTACCCATAACCCTTTTCCGCGTAGAGTTCATGCAAATGTCTATTCCCTTTGTTATAAGTCACATTTCATTTTTTTGTCAAGAAAGTATTCACATGATCAACGTAGACGTACGAAACCACAATAGTACGAAGAAAATCATAAAACACAAATGAAACTAAACTTATTATTCCTTTGTTTCATCAATCAGTCAGTCAGTCAGTTACAACGTAAGATCAGGCACATATTTGCATCGATCCAAGTTGCCATACCTCATTAGTACAACAAGATGGACACCGGATTCATAGAAGTAGTTAATTCAGTGGTGATAATATATAAAAGAAAGATTGCATATAAGGATATAGTACAGGAAGAAAGAATTAGTTCATAGAAAGAAAGATATGCAGTGATTTTAATCTCATAGTTTAAGGGAAGACAGAGAGTGTATACACCGACGCCATTGTGATCGATTCTGAGCCATGTCACCAAGAGTCTCCAATCATTGGTTACGATAGTCACGCCGATCTCAATTAATTAGTCTGCATCTACCAACATGGCTCAGACTAGAAGTTAGTGACTTCAATGACTGATGTCACGTTTTGGTTTGGCCACCCGCAACTTTCTTCCAACCACCCTTAACATTAGTCAGCATTACGCGTCGTGGTAATCGGTGTTCAGGCATACGCAACACGTGGCCCAACCATCTCAGTCGATGAAGATTCACAACCTCATCAACAAGGATAAGTGGTGATTTAAATAACTAAATCATCCGTAATTTTCTCAGGTGTATGAAGACTAAGGTCTTCATAGACGCTTACTGATCACACACATATTTTATTAGTGGTTAGTATATAAAAGAATAGCAAAACACAAAATTATATATCGATCATGATATCTTTCATTAAAAATGAAAATAATACTACAACTAAGAGTGGGATCGAACAGTTAAGCTGGTACTAAATCTAACCTTTAATTAACAAGCTAATAGTTGGTTTAAATCGGATTATATGTTTTAGTGACATTCATTTTACCAGCATCAGCTTATAATTTACCAAAACCTAATTATTCCAAATAGTTTTGGTGTAATAATAATAATATTTAGTATATTTTGATTTTCCCTGTTACTTTTAGTAATGTGGATCATTCTTTCATATCTATCTTCATCTAGTGTTGTCCATATGCCGAATTCAAAGAAAAGTCCCGAAAAATTTATTTACTAAACAAAATATTTCATATGATGATATTGAAAATGATAAACATGACATTTCAAAGATCAACTGTAATCCGCCGATTGAAAATATCTCAAATGGGGCTGAACAATAAAAAAATGGGTAAAAAAAATGACTAACTACTCATTGAATTATATTTTTTTTAGGAAAATTTTAACGTCCAGATATTACTTAAAGATAACTATATACATATAAGGGGATATATATACATATATATAATTCTTTATGAATAGTATTTGTATATAAGTAAGTGGTCTTGGTTTAATTTGTTTTTGGTGTCTTTTATTCTTCTTTATTATTTATCTATTGACCATATATTAAATTGATTTTCTTGAATTTATGTAATTCATAAATAGAACTTCTTTAATGCTTATGACAAAATCAATGAAACATTTCTATTAGAATTTTATTAGTGAAAATAATAATAACAATAATAATAATGGTAATAGTATTATTTCAAGTAATTAGTGTTTATTAATTTGCATATTGTTGCCATGTGATATGAAACTGATAGGTTCAGATGAGTAGTTTAGTTGCTAACACTAAATATGATGGTATATGAAATTGTAACCAAATGAAAGTGATTAAAAATTCGTTAGGCATTAATTTATCTTAATAATGATAGTTGAAAAATTGATTTTGAGCATTCATTTATCAAATGTTATCAATGCTAAGTTTTGTTGTTGAGAGAATTATGTATACAGAGCTTAGTGTTTCTTAAGGGATTTAAACTTACATCAGATACTGTGGTGATCTGAAATGATTGCATTTAGTTATATTCTTGCTTTTAGTACGATTCAATAAACAGTTTACTTAGTTGAAGTAAACAGTTTTATACCACCATATGTCTACTGACAACATTTTCTTATTGGTAACCTTCAAATGATTAATTGCAAATACAAGTCGCTTCGGCGTTAAATCATAAGTGGATGGATTTAGAATGCATTGAAAAACATCACTATATTGCCTTTGGTAAAAAATCACGTTGACTGATCTTCAAATATCAAACTATATATTCTGATTTTAATTAGATTTTTATCAATGAAAGAAGCTGTATATATGTTTCTCTGCTAAGTCTAATAAATAAGTACTCAAAATTAAATCCAATTACTCAGAAAGCGTTATCACAAATAATGATATTACATGTGCTCAAACCTACTACATAAATTGTACATTGACAGCGAAACAACTTTTTAATCACTTCTCAAACTTGTGAGATATGTCACTTGGTGATGTGTTGGTTAAAAACAGAGTTGATAGTATATTCATTATTCATTTGGTATCGCGAGAATAGAAACAATCTAAGCATTAAAATAAGGCTATTACAAAACCATTGTACATGTGAATACGGGCGAATTAATAAACCTCAACTATTTACTCTCACTGAAGTCTTCATACGTAATATGTCCAGTAAGTATTCAATTTTAGGTCACACACTTTATTCTCCAAATATTAGAATATATCAGTCCTAGATCTCTTTAAACATACGCACGATATGTGCAAATAGACTTATCTTTTCTGTATATCCATTGATAAAAACATCCTTGGAATTTCACATGTGTCAAGTTCGATTATGTACTGGTGATGATATATTCAAGTAGACTGGCGGTTTGAGTACGACTGTTATACTCAGTGAACCATCTACTTTTGAGTTTATTATAAGATGTCAGCGAATGAAGGATAGTATTTGGACATAACTTTTCTTAACTCAAATAACTGAAATTGTTTCTACAGAGGATTACCCGAAAATTAATTTGTTAGTAATCATCTAAACAGTAAATTGGCAAGCGTAACTCGTAGGAGAAGATATGTGTTTGATATTATTATTAACATAAGAGGTCGATAGTCGTCCATGTCAAACAACTTTAGCACAGTCGTCTGCGTGTTTAACAGACATGCTTTCTCAGTTAAGTAGAACTCAATGCATATTCAACTTTATTAAAGATTAGTATGACACAAGTTTTAAATCTCTACAATACACTTGTGTTTGAGCAAGTAGACAAAGTGAACAGCACGCAACGTCTTACGGATAGTAAGAAATTGATAAATAGGTGTGGGTTTAGCTAAAACACGTTTTACACTGACAACCTTTTCGATCTCAGTTGATAAAGACGGCAAACAAAAGAAATGCAAATAAAAAAGCATATTTTCTATGGATAATTTTGTTGTGTCAAGGAAGGTGCGAAAACTTAAAGTAAATTGGTAAGGCTCTTTTACATAAGCGAAGTGGTTTTAAAATGGAGGATGTAAACAACACAAAGCGACTTAACTATGAAAGGTCTGTCTATAATTTCAGGTTAGCTAATGCGTTCACACATATTCAACCTCATACTACTCGTCACTTCAGCTGTGGACATGATGACTGTCAGGGATGAATAATTATTAATTAATATGATCTTAAAGGTGGGTTAATCCAAGACTAAACAGAATAGTTTAAAATATATTACAATACCTACTCTTATTGTTAAATGCTTAATTTGGTGTTAGTTTTTGGGAAAGCTGATTTGAAAGTTATTCAGATTAAACATTTCCCCTCTTCAAATTCATTAATCATTCTCATGTACAAATGAAACAGACTATTCAGCCAAAACACGTTCCACATAAATTATGCAAGAAAAATGTCAAACTTACGTGTATTTATGTAAGAAGACTCAATCAATGAAAAGAAACGAATGATAACAATTAGGTATAACATATTTATGAAACAAATAGTAATTAGTCTAATATCAGTTATTATTTATTAGGATTAAATTACGTGATCACGTATAATCACTACATTATTTCTTTTTTAAATGATCAAATAGATTTGGAATATTATTAATCATAGTAATGTGATATACTTACATCTACACGTAAACTAGTTCGATATGTCAAGCCAAAATATTCAGTTTCTTGTAAATCTAATTGTTTACAAACTTTTTCAAATAAATGAATCCCATGAGCATTTTTCTGGAAAAAAACAACATGAAAATAAACATAAATTACAAGAATGATGAAATTTGATATGATTGTAAGTATTTACAGTAATTGAGACCATGAGTCGATTGAAGCTAGACCACAATGGAAAACCTGGAAGCATTGGATGACCGTTTCGTCATATTATGGTACTACTCAGCAGTGCGCATCCACAATCCCACCTCGCGAGATTCAAACCCAGGACCCATCAGTTTCGCGTGCGAGTGCTTAACCATTAGACCACTGAGCCGGCATCCAACTATGTTCATGTCTAACTTCAACCAATAAGTATTTACTAAAATGTGCTGTTTCTTAATATCGATGTTAGAGTAGTATATTACATAATACAAGTCGAAAATTGATTATGACAGAGGTTTGTGAAATTTGACCAGTGTTAAAGTGGTTTCTTTTTAATTATGAATTCATAGAAGTTATAGAATAACTGACCGTGCTCAATACCAGTCACAGAAGTGGCGAGGACATAGATAAGTAATTAAAGTAGAAGAATATGATCCATATGGTTTTAACGTAGCGCTCCATTGAACTCGTGACAAACACAAAAAATATTTTTATTTAAAATTAGGTATCCATGGTTGGCAATTCAAATAGAATATATTAAACAAAGATTCTGTGATACATCATTTTCAAAAAAAAAAGAAAACTCCCATCAATATATAACAAAAACTACAAACTTGACAATAAATGAACTAATTTCATATAAACACTTATTTACCAATCATAATTGTTTACTTTTAAAGTATAAAAGTATAAGGGGGGTTTAAATTTACGAATAGCCAAGGCTTCAATAAACTTACAAATTCGTCCTTGACAAATTACTCAAACTACTCATACTCATAGTCAAAACTGAATACTTCTATTGATCATTGAAACTATTTATTGATATAAAAATTGTGATGTAAACTACTAATAAATTTGCTTAGTATTATCATTATAAATAACTTTGATTTATTAGATAAGAACTAATCAATGTTCAATTTACAAACAACAGTCCTCAATCAATAAAGCTAAGGTTTGTATTATATTTAAAATAGTAATAATAATATATATATATAACACGAGAATTTATGTCATATTACTATTATAAAGTACGCGTTGAAACGTGTTTATTTGTAAAACTGTATGCTACTACTTATTATAAAGTAATTTTATGTTGATTAGATAAATAAGTTCTTGGAAGTTTCTACACATTTTGAAGGTTAAAACTATCGGATAATAATCGATTAATTATAAAATTATTAATAATTACATCATATTAAAAAGATAAGTTGCGATCAATAATTATGTGAAAGATAATAATATCGATTCATAAGTATTAATACAGATATATATATTTCACAGGTTGAAATCATGAGCTAATTGAAGCTAGACCACCATGAAAAACCTGGAAGCACTGGACGGCCGCTCCGTCCTAGTATGGAACTCCTCAGCAGTGCGCATCCACGATCCCGCACCCCAAGGGATTCGAACCCAGGAGCTACTGGTTTCGCGCGCGAGCACTTAACCACTAGACCACTGAGCCGATATCCAACGATGTTAATGTCCAACTTCAACCAATCCACGAAGTTGCCCCACCGTACACCATTGTCTTCAGTGAGCTGATATCTCACAACAGACCTGGTTGAACTCCACTGGTAACGGTTTTTCACTAGAACTCCAGGAGTATGTTCCAGGTTTTCCATGGTGGTCTAGCTTCAATTGACTCATGATTTCTACCTGTGAAATTTCTAAAAATCTCCACAAAACCCATTCTGAGAATATATATATGACTAGTTCAAATCATTCATTAAGCACAAATTTGTCTGTTCAACTTGGAAATACTCATTAATTTTATAAAAATCAATGATACTATCTGATTCGAATTCAAAAGAACAGAGTTTGAGCCTAATTACTAGTTGATTAAAAGCTTACTGGTTTGGTTGGTATATTATTATTATTTCAAATATTAAGAAGTAGTTCTATGGAGAATAACATACATTTCTTGGTTTATTAATGAGATCGTAACATATGAGAAGAGAGATAAAATCATTTTGATACGAATACAATTAAGACTAATGTAAACACAGAGTAACATTAAACAAAACGACTAGTTTCAATGCATCCAACATATGTTGTTCACAGAAAATTATATTTGTAAAAGTTGAAAAAAAACAATCTTGCACGCATTACAAGAAATTGATTTTTCAGAGTTCTCTTTAATGGTATACAATAATTTAATAGATGCATAGATACACAGTATACTGTTTTGGCAGAAAAGAAAATAATGATTCCAGTTGTTAAAATATTTAAACCCATCAAAACACCAAAATCTTCACAAATCTTCTAAATAAAATGAATAAAGAACTACTTCAGAATTTGCAACTTCTTATAAATTGAAACCAAAAATCCAAATTACAAGATGGGAATATGATTTAGGAAAATACAAACAGATTAAAATTTACTAATAGGATGTAAAACCTTTACATATTTGGACAGAATCATTGATGAACACGGTGGATCTCATACAGATGTGAAGGTGCTGATCGGAAAACCAAGAACAGCATATCTACAACTGAAGAACATATGGAACTCAAAACAACTGTCAGGGTTTTCAATACAAATGTCAAAACAGTTCTACTGTATCGATCGGAAACCTCGAGAACTACCACAACCATCATCTACAAGATACAAGTGTTTGTTAACTGTTGCCTACGTAAAATACTTCGCATCCATTGGCCAGACATTATTAGTAACAACCGACTGTGGGAGAGAACAAATCAGATCTCAGCAGAGGAAGAAATCATGAGGATGCACTGGAAGTGGATAGGACACACATTGAGGAAAGCACCGAACTGTGTCACAAGGCAAGCCCTCACATGAAATTTTGAAGGCCAAAGGAGGTGAGGAAGACCAAAGAACACATTACGCCGTAAAATGGAGATAAACATGAGGAAAATGAGCAATAATTGGATGGAACTAGAAGAGAACGCCTAGGACGTAGTGGGCTGGAGAATGCTGGTCCGTGGCCTATGTTTCATTGGGAGTAACAAGCGTTTGTAAGTAAGTATATAAATTGGGACAATAAATTAGTTAACATTATTAATTAGAGAGAAGACTAATTTTTGTTACCAGTGTGATGTACTTGACCTGATGTCGTATATATATATATATATATATATATATAGCACTGATTAATACATTGAAATAACCCTCAATTTATAACTAATCAATAAATGAATTCTTTTAGTTCATTACAACTAAAAGATTTGGAATATTTCGTGACATACAGATAAATCAGACATGTTAACCTCCTGACTATAAAAATAGGAAATACATAATAACAAGAAAAATTTCTAATTACATATGCTTTCCTCTCTAAATCTTTTCTTTTTTTCCGTTGTGCAATATGTTTTAAGTAAAAAGGGTGTGATTGAATAAGAAGAGAACTTTATATGTAATATAAGGAAATTGATTATATCAGTTTGACCTTTTTAAGTATGGATGAATAATAATGAGTATATTTGGCTAATATATACATTACTGACCTATTTTTATTATTCATCTGAGTTATAAGTAGTTGGATATATATAATATACAGACAGACAGAGTTTATTACATAAATGCACAAACAATATACATTTGATCAGAAAAACTACAGTTATATAATTTAAAAGTGATCTATAATACAGATAGAAATCAATTGAGAATACATATAAAATCTGGATCTCATCGAACATCTATTTTGTTCTAGTTGGAGATAACTCATTTATACTCAGCCAAACAAAATGGAACCCAACTCTAAATATCAGAGCGAAAAATATTTAATTCCAGACACTGAGTTGCTATTAATTGGTTCATATTATTAAGATGAATTAATTTCCAGAATAGCGTGCAGATGGTCTCTACATAGTTGACTTCTTACAAGCAACTGTTTCACTCTAGAACTCTTGGCAATTTATTTTGAACTTCAGTAATAATGACCATATGATTATTACTTATTTTATTAGTTTTATGGAGTTTTGGGTAATTCAATGATAATCTTTATAATGGACCAAAAGATTACACTAATACGATGTTTATTAGAAAATTAAATCACTTTATTAAATATTAACAGTCCAGTAACAAATCGTGTATTAGTTATAACTAACGTGGTCGGTAGATAAAACAATGGGCACAAAATATTTCTGATTTTTACTTAAAAATAAATAATGTAAAAGAAACATCTTTCCTTCTGTAAGGCAAGTAACATTAACCACTTTAAGAGTCTAACAGAAACAAACCACGCGATTATGATTGGAACAATAATATATGCTATAATTTTGTCAGTGAGTCAAGGAGCATATATTGGGTAAGGACAAGATGAAATTATGATGAACTATTTTGCTTTTTAAGCCACGAAAACTCCGCCTGTAGCTATTATAGGATTACTCTCGATCCGGGAGAGCTGAGATTCTTTGGATATCAGGAGGTCAATGCCACTTCTAACAACCGGAGCAACAATTAATGTAGGTACATGGAATGTCCAGACAATGTGGGAGACCGGGAGGACCGGTAAAATAATTACGGAAATGAGGACATACAACTTGGTGGTGCTCAGAATAAGTGAAACCCACCCTAACCAAGCTGGACATAAACAAATAAGTTCAAGAGAGATGCTGGTCACGAAGAAGAAAGTGCTCTACATACTCAAGGAATTGCTCTGACGCTGTCCAACGTAGCATGTAAAACACTTGTGGGATAGGAATCTCATGAATCCACGATCATCAAAACATCCATCAAAGCAAAGGAGTAGGGGATCTGTGGTGGTCGGTATTCGATATATCCCCTAAACTTCGTATACAATTCGTCTTGATAACCGTCCTATTTAACCCCAACGGTATATTATTCAGAAGGCGAATACGAAGCGTTGATTACGTTTATTTCGAGACCACACACACAGATGTCCAAAATTACAGATGCATTAAACGAGCATTAAGAGTTGTGTCGAACGGCAAACA